GGTGTTATATTATTCCTCTTGGTTTGTAGGTTCTATTTAATATGCGTTGCTCTCCTGCCCAGTTCAAAGAAGTTGTGGAATACATATCCAAACATAAAAGGTTATGTACCAAGGTCAAGAAAATGGGGTTCCAATCTCTCTTGGATTTTAAATTCAATAAACTACCGAGGGAGTTATGTGAACAAGTAATTACTGCTTTTGACACACTAACCTCAACACTTGGAATTAGAAGGAAGAAATTGAGTGTTAATAGGAAGGATGTGCACACTATATTAGGTGTGCCTTATGGTGGGAAAGCTGTCTCTTTAGATGATGACAGTGAAGCATTTGGAGCATCAAAGAAGAATTATCTTGGCAAACCCTTCACTGAGTTGAAGAGTATGATAATATCTGGTAAGGCTGAAAATTTATTTGAGATGATGTTTTTGTTATTCACACTTGGAACATTTCTGTGTCCCACAACAAGTATAACTGTTAGTATGAGGAGTATTAAAACTTTGAGTGGCAAGAAAAATGTTCAAGAATATGACTAGTCATCTTTTATGTTGTCGGAGATTGTTAGAGAAATTTTGACTTACAAGACAGCATTAAGGAGTAGACAAAGGAAGAAGAATGTAGGAGGATGCTTATTTTTCTTACTGGTATAGATTATTTGTAATCCTTCTATATTTTGTTCCAATTTATTTGTTATTGGTTAGATTATAATTATCTTTCTAGTACAGATATTTTACATGCACCATTTTCCATTGGGCCTAACACCGTTAGTAGATGGTGGAAGGCCCGTGATGCATTTGTGGAACCAAGACATGGTGTAAAAACGGGTTAAGTTGGAAAAAGAAAGCCTCCATGGCATTCTTTATGGTGGTCAGACTAATGAAGTGTCTGAAGTTTTACCTCTACTTGCAGCAATAACTCACTTGATAATATATATGTATATAATTTATTGTGTATGTATTGGTTTTTATTTGCTTAATAAACTTGGTGTTGAAACTTAGTTAGGGTGTGAAGGAAATATATGAAGATTTTTTGCAATATGCCAATACCTTTGCAAGTAAAATGCTAAAGTTACAATAAAGTCTTGACCAACTTCAAATATCTGATAATAAAGCTATCGTGAGGGTTGATGAACCAAGCAAAGAAGAAGTGGAGAAAGAGGAATGTGGAGATGAAGATGAAGCTAAAGATAAAGATGAAGATGGAGACAGAGGTGAACATGAAGCTGAAGATGCATATGATAATGGAGATGGGGATGAAGATAAGGATGAAGGTGGATATAGAGCTGGAACTAGAGCTGGATCTGAAGAAGATGAAGATGAAGGCTCCGATAGTAAGGAATAAACTGCAGAACTTTTGCCCGTTCAAGAAAGTGATGAAAGACAAGATGGCAAGAAGAGGAGGAGAACAGATGAAAGCCTAATGATTCGAAGGTTTGAAAGGAAAAGGGTTGAGGTAAATTGGTCACATTTTTAAAAGAACCAATACAAGGGACACTTACTAAAGAACAATAAATATATGAATATTACACTAGGCAGACCAATGAAGTAGAGGGTGAAGAGTAAGTAATGTGATATTACTTTTTGATAATTATGGTGCATTATGTTTGATATAATAACACTTTTTTTGGTAGGTATGTCATTGAGATGTACGATTACTACCTAATTAGGGTAGAATGCCAAAGTTTTGTTCCCAAAAAATGGATAAGTATAGCGGTATGTCTCAAAGTTTTAATTTAGTTATTTAATTGGATAGTACATTGAGTATTGGATGTGGTCTTTGTAGGTCATAAGTATGGTTGCAAAAGTGATGGTTAGTGAGCAACTTCGTGAAGAGAAGGTGTGGAGGTACATATTTGATTCAGAATTTATGGCCAGCCTAAGGGATAAAAAGTTAAGATGGTCTATTTTTTAGGATGCAAAGATACTCATGCCTAATAAACTTAGATATAACCTTGCAAACTCTGATTACCTCTTCTTGCCCATGCTTGTGTTCAATCACTGGTTTTGTTATTGTGCTGATTTCAAGAATGAAAAATTTGAAGAAGATGATGGCTGGATTTATGGTATGCTTTGTTAGAGCTTTTTCATAACTACTTTAAGTTACTTAAATTTTTAGACGGGAGCGGTTATCTAACATTGAGAACTGTTTGTAGAGAACTCATATAATTGAGTTGTTACAAGCATGTGAGCCAGAGAAATATAGAGAGGATTTTCATATGGAGATGATATTTGAAGAACTTCCCAAATAAAGTAACATGTAAGTAACTCACTATGGAAATAACTACCTTTTTATATATTCATTTCAAGTAGACATTTTGCCTTACCTTAATTGATTATATTTGTAGAGATGATTGTGGGGTATATGTGATAAAGTACTATGCAGAATGGGATGGTCGAAAAGAAAAGGAGGACTGACCATGGAGGACTTTTCAAATGTATGTATATGTGATCCACAATCTTTCTAATTTTTTTCCTCCAATTATTAATGTCAAACTTAAAATTTCTTTATGCTTTTTTTAGGAACAACTGAGACAGTTTAGGGTGGATGTGGTATAGTGGCTAATAAATCACGCAAGAAATGAAGTGAAAAATGAAGTTTATGCCTTTACCTCAGCAACTAACCGACTAAAGAGGGCAGGAAAGAAGTCTAGATGAATTTTTAATCTGTGATCTATTTTGGTCATTAATCTTTGATGGGTGTGATGCATTTGCCTCGCTGAAGAGCTTACTCCTCATCAACATTCAGCATTCTAATTTTGCAAAATTGCCTCTTCTTCAATTTTTTTCCTTGAGTGTCTTAGCTTCTATGGACTATGTAGTTTGTACAAGTAAGGAGATGCTCAATTGAATTTGAAGTTGTAACCAAATTTTAGGGCTTATAAGAATATTTTTACCAGCAAATTGCAGGGTTTATAGGAATAGGATTTTTGGCCGTAGAGTTGAGCTGGCCTTTGCGGGATATGCTTGATTAATTTTGTATTCAAAACATGTTATTTGATCAAAACTTAGTCACATGCATGCATTTTAGCTAACTAAATTATGATTTTGTGTGAACAAGATTTCCAACACTTCTATTTCGATTTTATATAGCAAATGCTAATGAATACTTATTGTTTTCAATAAATTAAAATAACGTGTATTTCCTGCCAATTGATAAGCTGAGCCGCTACTTATATTAGTTTAATCATATGGTGATCTAATTCAATGTAACAAATGAATCATGGAATTTTCTAATTTCATTATTCTTTTAGGACAAGTGAAGCTGAAGCGATATAAAACGCTCTTTGTGACTATCAATCAAGCTGAACAAGCAACCAAATCAATTATATATAGCCAATGTTGCAACTGCTTGTTAAAATTTTAGGTGGGGTAACTATTGAACTCTTAAGAAAGTTATAGCTCTAGGACAAAGCTCCTGTAATTTGCAACTGAGACACCAAATTTTGCAATTCCTTAAGAATAATTTGCAACTCAAAATTTTGGATCGAAGAACTATTAAATTTTTACAAGAGTTATTTTTTTAGGACAACATTCCAGTTATTTGCAACTGAGACATCAAATTTTATAATTTCATTAGGAAAAATTGCAACTCATACTCGAAATTTTGGATCGAAGAACTATTTAATTCTTACAAAAGTTAAATCTTTTAGGACATGGCTCCAGTAATTTGCAACTGAGACACCAAATTTTACAACTTCCTTAGGAAAAATTTGCAACTCATACTCAAAATTTTGGATTGAAAAATTATTTAATTCTTACAAAAGTTAAATCTTTTAGGACATGGCTCTAGTAATTTGCAACTGAGACACCAAATTTTTCAACTTCCTTAGGAATAATTTGCAACTTATACTTGAAATTTTGGATTAAAGAACTATTAAATTCTTACAAGAGTAAATCTTTTAGGACAACATTCCAGTAATTTGCAACTGACATACCAAATTTTGCAACTTTCTTACAAATAATTTTCTACCTTTGTTTGAAATTTTAAGACGACACACTTTTAGTGATCACAGAAGATATGAACTGTACATGTAAGAAACATGTATTAATTCATCTAATGCATCTGCACATATCAGTTATCCATATACACAAAACAATGAACTTGGATTTACAAACGAGGGGTTGCTATGTACCAAAAAAATCCCTTAATACTATCAATATATATCTACATAAACCTATACATGTCACCCAAATCCAAGTTGATCTAATCTTATGTTATGAAAAAATCAACTTAGATTTACAAAAGAAGGGTTGCTATATGCCAAAAAAAAAACCCTAAAACTACCCATATATGTATGTTACCCAAATCCAAGTTCATGTGGTAACCCATTTACAATAACATCAACTTGGATTTGGATTTTTACACTTCTTCTACGTATGACCTGCTTCATGGCAGTGAGAACAATGATAAACCTTCTTTTTTTGATTTTGAGACTCAATCCTCACATAACGAGGTCTGCTAGCTGGTCAAGATGTTTTAGGAGGTAGCAAAAAGGTTTTGTTCATCAGCTCAGACATTGTCAACATATTTGGCTTTGGCATGTCATGGGTCTCAACAGGATGTATAGTGCCACTATATATTTTCTCCAGTGAGCTACAAAGATAATATTCCTTGACATAGTTATATACATTACTATGTACTTCTTTAATGGCTGCATAAGCATGTGGGCAAAGAATGTCAGACATTTGCCAAACTTTGCATGTGCATTCCCTTAGTATCAAATTCACACATACATCTCCACATGGTGTCTAAACCAATGCAATATGTGAGCCATGTAGCTAAACTATCATAACTTCTATCCTCAAAATATTTTCCTTCAACTTTGCTTCAACATTTGGACCAACCATGCTTTTCCACTTACTCATGGTTGCCTTACTTGTAAAAAATTTCTTGCTCAACTTGTCTCTATGCTCATTTATAAGAACACATATATTATGCCTCCCCTCCTCAAGAATCCATGCATTGAATGATTTGGCCAAGTTGGTTGTTATCTTATTCCATCTTTAAAATGGGAACAATGATAGTGCCCACCGATCAACATCACCTTGATTTTCAACCCATCTTGCTAATTGTGGAGAGAATATCCTCAAATTTTCCATGGCTATATGAAATTCATACTCATGCCTTGCATAAGCAATGTGATCAAGCAACTTTAGTGCCTTTTCCTTATTGTTCCTTCCCATTCCCCTACAAACTTTGTTAAACTCGGAGCTAAAATTCTCTTTGACATGTTGATAGCAAAATGCATGTCTATCACCACCAAATATGGCTCTAACAGCACCAATAATAGTATTATTTCCATAAGAAACAATAGTTACCTTTAGTAAACCAATGATATCTTTAATATTTTGCAAAAACCAAGTCCAATTATCGTGAGTTTCACTACCAACTATTGTAAAAGCTAATAGAAACAACTTATTATCGGCATCATATATTAAAGCTACCAGTAAGGTGCCCTGATAAGGACCACTGAAGAAACATCCATCCACATATAAAATAGGCCTAGCCCCAAACAAGAATTTTTTTGATAGAACAACCATATGCTATAAATAATTGTTCAAATCTATTATTCTTAGAAGCCACCCATTTTACTACAATGTCAGCATCAGTCTCTATTAGTCTATTACACAACTAAGGAATAAGCATATATGATTGGTTAGGAAGCTCATTTATTTCCACCAATGCCATCTTTTTCGCTCTTAAGGCTTGACAATAAGTTAGACTTATGCCATAGTCTTTCTATTTATCGGCTTTGATTTCATTGGATCTTTTTTCCACATTAGACCTTACTACGTCATCAATTATAGAAAAAGTTAGTGTACACCTTGAACTATAAGAAACTTCAAGGTCTTCTTAAGTAGAATGTAAGTGCTCATTCTTGAAAGTTGTTACACAAAGCAATGGCATTGACTTCCTTAATAAATATGTTGCTATCTTCCATCGACATCCTTTTGCCTTGCAAATTGTAATTATTTTATTTGTGTTTTCTTCACAAATTTATATTCAAACCTATGTGCAATACTATACTTGTAGATTGCTTGTCTACAATCATCAGCACTCACAAAAATCTACCTAGGTCCTACTAGCAAATCCTTCCATTTTGTTGCATTTAGCTCAAGCATTGGTGTTGGGATACTTTGTATTACACATGGTAGAACTTCAAGATCTTGTGTAGCATGTGAATTCTCAATTGAACGTCCTCTGCATTTCCATTCAAATCATGTTTATTACTACCATTCATATTCATATTAGCGTAATATTAATCATGCAACTATTAAAAAAACTTACCCATCAATTGAATCTCTTGTTGCCTCTGTACTTTGCTGTATCTTCCCAATGATGTACACATGAGTAAAATTATCATTCAACTTCATTAATTAATTTATCCCTTCATCATCTTTAAGATCTAAAAGAGCATTACAATCAAACTTTACTATGTACTTCAACTCTATTCCATTTAAATCACAATTCAAGCATGATGAAATCAATCTAACAAGCCTTTCAAGAGACATTCCTTCTCTAATCATTCTTCCATTACAACTCCCCCCATCATAATGCATTGTCACATGCATATCTTTTACAATATCTCTACCAAAATGAAAATAACAAAAAATTTCCTTTAAACAACTAATTTCCATCGTACCCAATAATATCAACCTACAATAAACAAAATAAAATGTAATAATATATCACTCAAAAACAAATTACTTTTGACATCAGTGATTTTTGCATCAGTGAGACAATGACAATATTTCATCTTAAAATATGGACACTCAATGATAGATTCTTACACTTTTAGTTGCAAAATGTCAAATCTTTAGAAACGTGAAATAAAAAAATCTTTCATATTTAGTTGCAAAAAAGCATCCCATCTTTTTCCTTATGAGAGTCATTTTGCAAGAAATCAGACCTTAATAGAGTCAACCTTTTTGCTCAGATGTAGGGATTTGCAAAAGAAAAACACTAGTCTAAACACACCAGCCAAACAAACTCATGTAAGCAGAGAATAAGAGCTTCCTTGAGTCAATAATTAAGGCAACTCCACCTCTTCCAAGCGCAACTCTGTTTTAGGAATGAGTATTCTTCAATGTGTAGCTCCACCACTTACATGTAGCTCTCATTAATAGCAGGAAAAAGACACATCGAGAGGGAAATATTGGAGTTAATGACTGTTTATGTTATATTTAATCATAGGGCCATTTTAGTCATTTCTATCATAACTCTGATTTGTGAAAAAAAGCACAGGACTTTATTGGCCTTTTACAATTATTTGGGACCTAATTGGATTTAATTACTCCTTTTGGGACTTGATTGTCATTTTCCCTTTATATATTTTTTTCTCTTATCACTTAAGTATAAAATGAATAATTTTTAATACAAAATCTACTCATATTTTCTTGTTTTTATATTAAGCAGAAAAAAAAGAGTAAATCACTTAAATAAAAGAAAGAAAAGAAGACAATAAAGAGAATCAAATATCATATATTAAAGAATTAAATGAAATGTAGGTGTCATCTAGATGGATTTTGAGCCCAAAGAGGTTGAACTTATTATAAATAAACCTCCCCAAAGCCTCTCAACACATCCAATCTCATATTTGAAGACTAAGAGACATATTATGAAGTCTAAGCTGAGAGCTTTCTCTCTTCTCTTCTTCTTTAATTTATTTTTATGTCTTTTATTTGGGATTATAATTTTTAATCTTTGAGTTCTTGCTAAATTCTCATTCAAGATAGACAGTAGCCTGGCTAAAATGGATTTTATTCTTTATTTAGTTTGAATTATTTTCTCATTGAACAATGATTTTTGTCTATAAGAATTTATGTTTGCTTTTATGTTTATCTCCCTCATTTTAATTACTCTTTATATAGCTGACTGCTATACAGATTGTCTGTGGATAAATTGATAAAACTTACCCAGACTTAGAGAGATAAACACAGATGACTAAAATAGAAATAATTTTGAAGTTTGCAGTAGCTTTGGATCGCAGTTTCATGGTTTAGTTATAGAGTATAATTTAGTAAGAGCTAAATTTAATTCTAATTAAATACATCTTAATATACTGAAAAGTAATTAGAACACCATAAAAATAGTTGTCACTATAAAAGAAGGGAAGATAATTAATTGAATTAGAATAATCCATGTTGGTAGATAAATTATGATCAATGGCACTTGTTTGATTGGTTAATTCATCACTTTTATTGATTTCCTTATTTATTTTCTTTACTTAATTATTAAATATTTTTTCACAAATCCCTATTTGTTTTCTTAAATAATAAAGATCACTGTCATTCTTTGGGTTTGACCCAAAATACTTTAGATATATTATTATATCAATCTTGTGCACTTGTGAGGTCAATCAATGACAATTGGAAGTTGAGATTAGGAGAAGCCCTAATCAAATTTTAAGATTTTGGGGTTGTAAGAGTTGATTTATATTGTGATTTTACTAAATAGGGATTGGAGGTGATTGTGTGATTTGGTCGTAGCTTTTATTAGCTAAACTATTAGGGCTATGAATTGAAAGTGGTGAAATTTGGTTAAATTTAGCTAAAAAGTATTTATGTTAATTTGAAAAATTAACATATAATGCTTATTATTATAGATAGTGGTGCGTGGAACGTCGCTAATGTTAAGGAAGTGATAGTGGTGATTGTATGAGAATATCTTTCTCTCTGGTTGTCCAAATGGAGTGATTCTTATCCCAAAATTTCTATCATCATCTTAGAGTTGTCTTTCACGTTTGTCATTTCTCTACATTCAACCATTAATTTTTTGCAAAGAGCATTAGAATCTTGCAGGTCATCTGCCAAAAATTCTAATTTTGTAGAATTTCTAACTAGATTATGTGATTTTTTTGGCAATGATTGAGAACGAATTTGAAGCTAAAATTTTTACAGAGTATTCCTATACATTTTAGATGGATAAAAATCTTTGAGGATTTGGACGTGGGGATTTGTCCATGCATAGCTACCAAGTTCACTTACTTTAGAGAGCTTTCACAAGAAATTCCAGAAATATGGGCAGATTTCAAATAAGCATTTCTAACTCTCCACTCATCCAATTTATTTGATTTTTATTTATGAATTTTCTTTAGCATCTTAGCTTTATTTTCTCTATTTTAAGTTTTCTAATTTTGTCATTTGGTTGCTTGAAAAATTAAAAAAAAGTTTGTGTTTTGTTATCATTTTCATTTGCTATTTTCTTTGTATTGAATGTTGTTGTGTTTTTGGTTTCGTGAGCTTTTTTTGGGATTCTTTTACATTCCTTGAATATTTTAAAACATAATGATGGCTTAGTCTAGTGAACATGATATATTTAATTCTTACTCATCCATGTCTATTAATTTTTCTCCTCCCATGAAAAATGATTTTTCACCATCATCCCAAAGGTATCATAAAGATTCTTACTCTCATTTGACTCCACAATATCATAATTGTTTTGATTTAAGGCAATATTAATAGGAGCAAGAACAAGAAGAAATTGAGGTAGTTGGAATCTAAAAGGGAGGACAAATTTCTTATGTCAATTGAAAGTTGCTTGAATGCATTGGGAGAAGACATAAAAAGGAATGTGCTGGTCTCTTCTATTTTGAGCCTTCTTTTTCACAACATTACTCAAGCCTTAATTCATGCAACCAAGCAACTTTCACTTTAAGCTCTAAAGTTAGTGTACAAATTGAAAAAGAACGGCTAGTGCAACAATCAACTCAGAGAGAACTTTTTCACTAGGTAATGACTCTCCAATTCTTATTAAGTTTGATTCAACTTTTCATGTTAATTTTGATATTTCATTGACTAATGACTCATTTGATGAAGAGTTTGATGAAGAAATCATTTTTTTAATCACCTAGTGTTGCCATGTCTTATGATTATAATATTGAGAGTTTACATCCTAGCAATAATAACACTCTAGCTTCTTTTCTCTTGTGAGACTCTTGAGATCCATGAGAGCTTGGAGCATGTGACTTCTTCACTTGATCTTGTTTACATAAGGATGATGAAGAATGCGCAATTGATATTGAGTTGAATTGAATAGCATACTTTCTTGTTCTTGCAAGAATCATGAAACTTGTGCTATTTGCATTGACATTGTGAATTTAGATGAGAGCATGAAATATTCTTGCATGGATTTTAGTTGATGATTCTCTTGAGATTTCTAAGGATGAGTTTTCACTTGCATTATGCTCTTCTCATTCTCCAATATCACATGACTCACCTTCTACCCTTTCTTCATTCACTTGTGCTTGTAAGGCTGATGGTTTATGTGAAAATTGCATGGAAATAGTTTCTTTGCTTTCTAATTTGAATGATAATGATATTCTAGACTTTAATGATCATATTACCTCTCATTCCATGTCATTAAATGAGAAAAATACTGATTTCACATCATATACGTTTTTAGACTCAAAACAATCCATTGTTGAGCATGTTTTCACCTTCTCTTGCTTCTTTGT